TTTTGGCTCATGATTTCAGCCCACGGTCAGCTGGTTCCAAGGCAGAAACATCATGCCAGAAGGGGATAGTGGGAGAAAGCCGCTCAACTCATGGCATCCAGGAAAAGAAGGGCAGGGGAAGAGTCAGAGAGGAGAGGCCCAGGAACAGGTGTAGCCCCAAGGTCACACACCCATAACTCACTTCCTCTACCTAGGCCCCCATCCTCAAAGCCCCTACAGCTCAAAACTCATCAGTCGATTGATGAGGCCAGTGCCCTACTAATCCAATCATCTTCCCCTGAGTCTCTCAACCCGGCCAAATTTAACTGGCAGAATAATTATTTTGGAATTTAAATCTGGCAAAATAGCCTGTAGAATAACAAGATAAATAAGAAACACAAATTAAGAGGCATGGAAGCTCAGCCTAGTACAACCAAGATCTTACTGAAAGAAATTCTAGGAGATCAAAGAAAACAGAGAAGAGAAAGTTATCAGAAGATAGATAGAAAGACAGATGAAGGAAAGAAGAGTGAATTCTGTGTTTGGGAAAACCATCAAAAATGAAGAGAAAAGAAAACATCTCTAGGTAAATAAAACGATGAGTGTTTTGTTTGTCACTGGCAGATCTACCTTAGAGGAAGTGCTACAGAGCGTCCTTCAGGCTGAAGACACCAGAGTCACTGAAACTTACATGACAAAACAAGAACAGACTTCGCTCAGCTGTTGGGGATGGGGCTTCACAGCCAGGGAAGGCGAGTTTGAGTGTTACGAGGTCACGGGTGGGCTGCTGAACACCTTGGACCGCAACACTGCACAAGCACATGGCATCATGAAGGAGGTGCTGCAAAGCCGACTCTATCCCAAAGTGCCACCTAAAGAGATCCACCATCTCCTGTGAAAATGAGGGAGATTCTCACATCTCTTGCAGTTGTAGACATGGATTTCAACCAGCTGGAGACATTTCTGTTGCTCAACTCAAAAAGCAAGGTTGAATCACATCTAACCAAGCTGCTGTAATTTCCAAACTCTGGAAGAGCCACAAGATAAAAGTATGAAAGAACCTCTGAACCAGAGCCACTGGGACAATGAACTTTGGGGAGTGAGCTAGAAAGTTGATGACCAGTCTCACTCAAGGCACTCAGTCAAATACACATCCTCTAGACATAACTGTGTAGAACTATGGAAAAAATGGACAGGCCAATCAGCATTGTAGACTAACAGTTTCAAAAGAATGTGAAGGTAAGTGACCTAACAGGACACCTACCAAACAAGCAATGAGAAATCTGAATGTTTTATGTTTGGAATTTGATAAGGTCAAGATCAACCAAGTCCTGAAGTTTGCGGAGGTAGAAGAAAGTGTTAGGCTATTGGTGTAGAAAGGCTAACCAAAGATGAAGTAGGAAAGAGTTGGACTTATTGACACAAAACTGTGCATGACCCCTTGTGCAATTAAAATTATCTCCCCCATTGACACTACATTCTCAATTTAAATATTAAGGGGGGAAAAAAAACCTGAGGACCCTCAAAACATAAGCACAGGGACTGGGGAGTTAGCTCAGTGGTTCTGTGGCCTGCCTCGCAAGCGCAAGGTCCTGAGTTCAATCCCCAGTACAAAAAAAAAAAGTCAAAAACAGAACAAAAATATAAAATTATAGGGCCAGGGATTCATCTTAGTGGTGCCGTGCCTGCCTTGCAAGCATATAAGGTCCTGAGTTCAATCCCTGGTACCAAATTAAAAAAAAAAAAAGGTAAGTACATAGGTAAATATAAAAGGCACTATAAGTGTCTTTTTCTTTGTATCTGTTTTTCTCCTAACTTATTCTAACAATGAATACACTAAGAAGTAATTATAAATCTATGCTGATGGGGCCAATATATATATAAAGATATAAATTTTAACAAAAGTAGCATAAAGGAGAGAGAAACATCTGTATAGAAACAATGTTTTGTATACTATTGAAATTCAATTGATATTTATTTGAACTACATCATTAAAAATAAGATAGTAATTGTAATTCCAAGAGTATCACTAAGAAAATAACCCAAAAAATACAGTCAAAGAAAGAAATGGAGCTAAAATAGTATACAAGAAAATAACAAAAAATAAAGCCATTAAAACAGAAACAGGAATAAAATAGAATATACAGAAAACAAAGAGCAAAATTCAACCTCATCACTAGTTATATTAAATATAAATGAATAAAACTCTTGTTAAAAGACAAAGATTGACAAGATGGATTAAAAATAAAAATATGATCCATATATATGCATTTTAAAGAGACACATTTAAGAATCAAAGAAGCAAATGGGTGGAATGTTAAAGGATAGAAAAGGTTATACCAAGCCAATAGAAACCATAAAAAAGCTAGAGTGGCTATACTAGTACCAGACAAAACAGACTTTAAGAAAAATATTTAAATGATCAATTCATTAAGAAGATTAAACGCTTATAAATATATCTGCACCTAATAGTAGAAAACCAAAATACAGGAAATAAAACATGACAGAGTTGGAGGGAGAAATAAAAAATTCGACATTCTTAGAGAGCTTGGTAACTAGCTTTCAACAATGGATAAAACAACTAGACAGCATATCAGCCAAGAAAGAAAAGAGAAGAACAATACTTGAAAAGGAAGAACAAACAAACAAAGAAGTAGGCCTAAAGAATCTTCAGGAGATTTCACCCAAGTAAAATATACATTCTCTTTAAGTACATTGGGGGCATCCTCTAGGATGGACAAAAATGTTAGGATTAAAGAAACTGTCATCCAAACACACACACACTGGGATATTAGTCGTAAAGTAGAATGATATCATGTCATCTGCAGGAAAGTGGATGAAATTGGGGACCATTGTATTAAACAAAAGAAGTCAGACTCAGAAACACAAATATTGTGTGTTTTCTCTCAGTTGTGAAATCTGTGCTTGGTGGGGAGATGAAAGTAAAAGCGGTACTACTTGAGAAGGGAAAAAAGAGCAAGGGGAGGTGGCAGGTAAGCGGGTAGAACAGAGAGTGAACACCACCAAAATACACCATATGCGAGTATGGTAATGTCACACTGCAACCCTTTATTTTGTACAATTACTATGCACTAGCAATTATAATTTTATTCATAGGTACACCAAACTAATAGAAAACAAATGGTCATGCAGAAACTTGTACATGAATATTCATAGAAGCTTTACTCATAATAGCCAAAATTGAAAGCGACCCAAATTTCTACCAACTAATGAAGGGGCAGCCTAATGTGCTGTGTCCATACTACAGAATGTAGTATGTATCCGTGACCAGAACTGAAGATCTGAAACAGGCAACGACATGCAGGAACTCTGAAAACATTGGGCTCACAAGACTACATATTGTGTGATTCCATTTATACTATGCGCTCAGAGTGGGAAAATCTATGGAGAAAGTCATTCAGAGTTGTTGAGGATTAGGTGGGAGTGGGAAATGAATGTTAATGAATGTAGGGTTTCATTGAGATGATGAAAACGTTCTAAAATGTATGGTGGTCATTGAGGCACATACTAAAGACCACTGAACTGAGTATTTAAAATGGTGAGTTTTATGGTCTATGAACCACATTTTAATTTTTTAAATGTCCAGATATTTCAATTATGAGACATATTGAGGGAAAGGGTATATTTTGATTCATTTTTACATGATAAATTGAAGATATATTAGAAATACTAAGTGTAAAGAATAAAATCATTAAAATTAGATCTTAAGGCCGGGCATGGTGGCACATGCCTGTGATCCCAGCACTTGGGAGGCTGAGGCAGGAAGATTGCCATGAGTTTGAGGCCAACCTGGACTACACAGTGAGTTCAAGGCCAGCCTAAACTACATAGCGAGACCCTATCTCAAAAAAATTAGATCCTAATATACAAGATGTTTTACTCAGAAACCATAACATTAAATGATTGATAACTGAGAATATTAAAATGTGACACTTCTGCACATCAGCATCATAACTGCAATGAATGAAAAGTTAGTTGATCAATGTTATTTGACAATGGAGTAATGTCTGGAAGGTGGAAACATATTAAAAAGGAAAATATCAATAGAGAAGTGGCAAAAAGACATGAAACATCTTCTAATTCACATTAGAGAAATACAAACAGTCAATAAACATCTGAATTTTTATTTTTTAAATTAAAAAAAATCTTTTGAGACAGGGTCTCGCTATATAGTTCAGGCTTCCTTGAACTCACTATGTAGCCCAAACTGATGGCAGTCCTCCTGCCTCAGCCTCCTGAGTGCTGGGATTACAGGTATGCACCACCACACCCAGCAAACATCTGAAATTTTATACACAAGCTCAGTAATAATAAGTAAACTGCAAAATAAAGCAATCATTAGATAACACTGTATTCTTATCTTTAAAAGATATTTTATAGAAAGTGTTAGTGAGGTTGTAGAGAAATGGGCACTGACATGGACCGCCAGGTGCAAGCATAAATTGGTACATAAATTGAAATTCCTTTTTCAGGAGAAGAATTTGGCAGTATGTTTCAACATACACATATTTAAAGCTAGGAATCCCATTTCTAAATAAAACCTTAGAAAAAACTGAACACATGCATCACAACCAGGCTTATAGCAAAATGCTGGAACCCTCCCAAATGTCCATCTGCAAACAAATGGTTAGAAAAGTTATCCACAGCAATTCTATTCCATAGCCAGCCACCCCCTCCTAGTTATTAAGGAAATTTCAAGGAAGAAATTCATTTTCTAAACAATGCTTATAGTATAGTCCCATTGATAGAAAGCAAAATGAAACAAAACTATCCCATATATGCGCAAGTGTAACCGTCACTACTTTTAGTAAAGAGACGAGGTTAGGAAGAGTCGAAGGTGACTTCCACTATTGAATTTACACATCATGGTATTGTTTGAATTTTCATAAAAATTAATATAAGATTTAGATAAAGGTTTGCTTATTGTTTGTGATATACTATTTAAAGCTAATTTAAATTTTGATGTAATTCAAAGTAAAATCAATGAAGAAAATTCTTACCTTCCAAATTTTCAATTTTTTCAATGTTGTTTAGAGCTAAATTCAAGTATTCAAGTTTCTTGAGTTTGCTAACATTTTCTGAAATACACAAATATTGTCATTAACCTTCAAGATAAAGACATTTTAATATAATCTATTATGAAAGGGATAAAGAGATCTTGTTGCTTTTTCAAGTCTTTACCTGTACCTGAAACACGATTTCTCATGCAGCCTCCATTTCTTCCTCCATTTTTCTGAATGGAACCCAGATTTGCTCAAGTCAATTCAATGCCAACTCAGGGGGTGGAGGGTGGGCAGGTTAACCAGGCGGGCCCAGTGCCTGCACAGCCAATCTCTCTTGCTGGTGAAGGCTCTGGAACCTAAGCCTAAGCCAAACAGCTTCTGGAAGTCGCCTGACAGCCACAAGCTACAGGCCAGGCCGGGCATGTGCACCAAGTCCCCCATGCCCCAGGCCAGCATGTGCACCAAGTTCCTAAAATGAAGGAAAGATCTACACTCTACACTTGGGGACATCCTATCTCTTTTTCCTTCTGGATTTTAAGGATAGAAGTCTTCTCTCTACCGGCACTCACCACGGGGAACCGACTGTAGGATAAAGCCCACACTGGCATCATTCAGCTCTGGAGTCTGCTGCAGCTCTACACTTGGAGTTGGGTGAAATCGTAGCCCTCCTTACTGTTAAGCCACATAGAGTTGGGTTTCTTTTGCTTAGAACCAAAATCAACCTGATAAAGGATTCTCATTTTTGAGGAATTTGAATGTTCACACAGGAAAAACAACAAGCATAACCAAGTCAGTCAGAGAATCACCGGGAAGAGGGGCTTTTTCCAAACAGCTAAAAATAAGATATGGTTAACATCGTTGATTGCTTATTGTATGCCACATAATGTTCTAAGCATTTCACACCTATTATTTTACCCTCATAATAACCTCGTGAAGTAAACTCTATTGTTGTCTCCTTTTTGCAAATGAGAATACAGTGCTAAGGCACAGGAAGTCTGCTTAGCCCAAGGCTAAGTGTCAGAGCCAGGAAATTTGACTCTGGAACTTGGCACTGAATGGTGACAGTATTCGTGTACCTTAAAAGAACAGTCCTTTGGTGGATGACATGAAAGATAACGTTCCTCCTAAGGAATGTGTCTTTGGGGCAGCCTTACTTAAATAATGCCTCCCCTGTCCACTTCTCGAGGATATTATAAATACCAAGCACAATAAAAGGACCATCACCCTATTTCCATTAATAGCTCATCTAAAATTTAGAAAACATCTATTTGTTCCCATAGACTGGACAGTAACAGTTTAGCCCTCAAGGCCTCAGTCTACTGAATTCTTAAAATGAGGGTTTTTGGGATAAAGTTTCAACAATTAAATTATTTAAGTAATACTAATGTTTACAAAAGGTTCTTTGGCAACATCTGAGCATTCAGTAGTCAACAGATTTGGAGGTTTCTTTGTGCCAAGAATTATGATAGACAGAATGTCTGGTCTGCATCCTGCCTGAAAATATTCAGAATTATCAGTGTTAAAATTGCCAGCCCCCAAGAAAAATCTGTTCCAAATAGAATTCCCTTTCCCCGCCTCTGTTATATGTATAGCCCTCTAAATGGTAAGAGTCATCTGGTAGAAATAAGATGTTTTTCAGAAAGAATTGCCTCAATCAACTAAAGAAGCAAAGGGCCAAACTGGTTAGGAGGAGGGGGAAAGACTCATTAAGTAAAAATGCCCAGGTCCTCTGGGGCAACAGAGAGGGATCTGAGTGCTGTAGCTAAACTTTTCTGGAAGCGGTTGTCACCTGCTGACACAAGCAGGACAACCCACTTGTAGGGGCCCAAATACTTTCTTGGGTGGAAGAATTCTGCAGCCCCCAGCTTTGTGAGACCCACAGGGAAGACACTGCAAGGGGGCATGAGCAGCCCACCCCCACCCAGCAACTCCCTGCTGTACCGGACCCCAGATGGTCCTGGGCTCACACTTGCATCAGCGCTGAGCTGAGCCTTCCTCTGCAGCCCATCTGCACCTCCCAGGGAGCCAGAGCACTGGAAAAGGCATTTGTCTTGCAAGCTTCTACCTCCATGGGAGGACAGCGTCTGAATCCTAGAGAACTAGTTTTACTTGCTAAATAAATGCCTAACTACTTATGGGTGGCAGAGCACTGCAAAATCCCATTATTAGGATTTAAAAGAGTGTTTAATTTAAGAATACTTTGGAAGCAAAAATTCAAGCTTCCTCCCAGCTCTGAAAAAGCCTGAAATACTATGCTACTAATTAGTAATTGTGATGGACCCAGCTGCGGAGATTAAAATTTGGGGAACTCTTTTAGATTTGTACAATTAGGACTGTTTTTCAATGCCCCGTGCATAAAGGCTGGTGCTTTTCTGTGACAGCCTTTTTAATTGAACAATGTGCTGGAGTTTCTAATTTCTGGTAAACTGAAAGATGCTGAAAATAATTATCTGAAGAAATATAGAGTGTTTTATTAAATCTTCAAAAGAAATGATGCAAATCTAGGCTTGTTACAACCCTAGAGCCAGGAAGCATACCACCAGGGCTTGTCAGTCTCAGCAGTACTGACATTTGGGGCCCAATGATTCTTTCTTGTGGGGAGCTGTCTGTCTCGTACTCTAGATGGTTAGCAGTATTTCTGGCCTCCACCCACTGGATACCGGTAGCACCCACCCCAACAAACACTCACCTGTGACAACCAAAAATGTCCCCTGATTTTGCACCCAAGGTCACCACAGAAAGTTAACTACAACCCTCAAGGCTGGCCTCGGGGCTCCAGGGCCAGAGCACACAGGCGCTCTGCCTCCACAGCTGACTCTAGCCCTTCTCCTCCAACTCCATTCACTCCTCCCTTTTGGTGGCCTGGGGCACTCTGGGATAATGAGAACATTAATAACAGCAACAGCACTCCGCTTTAATCTAATGTATACTTATTCATGGCAAGTGCAATGCAAAGCACATCATTTCATGTGACCCTTCCACCAATTCTTTTTTTGGGGGAGGGGGTGGGGGTACTGGGATCAAACTGAGGACTTTGCACTTGTGAGGCAGGTGGCAGAATCACTGAGCTAAATCCAGGGCACCCCTTCCACCAGTTCTGAATGGTATATTATCAGCCTTATTTTGTAGATGATAAAACTAAGACCCGGACAAGTTAACTGACTTGTCTAACTTCACACAGCTTATAAGTGGCAGAGTTCACAGCCAGGTCTCCCTGATGTCAGAGCCCATGCTTGCTTTCATAGTACCATTAACTCTACTGTTGCTTTTCCAAGCATCAGCAGTATTCACCTGTGTTCACACATGGTAGGACTTCCATTGAAATGACTCTGCAGGGCTCTCTTCCCTGTGCCTCTTATTTCATTATTATGGGGGGCATGGGTCTAAAAGTGGGGAAGACCAATTTATCCGATGGGTAAACTTGGAAAAGAAACTGGGCATGCTCAGTCCTATCTCTGGATCCTGGGATCTTTCTTTTAGCAAAGAGCACATGGTTTAAGCCCTTTCCTACCATAAACAAGGGTCTGTCTGGATGGGGAAACTTGTGGGTGTTATAACTCACTCGCGAGATACATAGATAGGTTTATTATAAAGGCAGCAATAGCAAGCCCACTTGGCTCCAAATCTAACCCACATTTCTCAGAGCTTTATCACTTATAATTTAGTATTTTGATCTTCCTTTGCCTGACTCCTGCATTTAACTCTCATTTGCCTTCTAAACTGGAACCTCCTCAGTACCCAACTCTGACCACAATGCCTTGCAAGCAAAAAATCTGGCAGAACTAACAGTTACAGTCCATGGTGGCCTGACGAGTTGTTAATAGCCACAGAATCCTTCTAGTTTTGCAGTGATGTAAAATCAAATGCATGAATTACATCCTCCTCCCTGTGAAACTTTCAAAAAACAGGTCAGCTAATGTGTTCCTTGCATCTAACTAATCTCCCAACATCTTGATGCAGATTTTCTAGTGCAAGACTGACTACTCATGGAAAGGTTCGGGGAAATGTTCCCGTTCTAACTGCTGAGAGATGGCTATGTCTGTTTTTCCCATGTCATTTTTCCTCAGTTATTGTTTCCCGTTAACACTGCATTTTGCAAAGTTCTCCTATGCCAAATGTTGATAAAACCATAAAAACAAAGTATCAACACTTACCAATTTTTCCAATAAGGTTATTTTGAAGATAGAGAATTTTTAAATCCCGGCACCATTTGTCAATATGTTCTAGTCTTTCTATTTCTTGCTGATGCAAGGAAAGTTCCTCCAGGGAAAAAATTACACAGTCATTGTGTTCAGCATTCCGCCTAATAAGATCTTCTGTGACTGAAAGAAAATTTGCTGCATGTTACATTTCTATCCCCACTGTTCATCATCTGGTTTTTATGTTATTAATGTGTTGGATTTTATTTGCAGCTAAATATCAATACTCCAAGTCCAAATGATTTTCAAAAGGAAAGACATAGGAAAAACGCTACCTCTTTTTGCAGTTTTTGTGATGCCATGATATGAGTCAAAGGGAAGAAAGAGGCAGGATGACCTCTTAAGTCTTATCTTTGCATGCAAAGGTGCACACATTTTGCTGTCTGCAGACACTGACAGCTAATGGAGATAAGAATGTTGGTGCGGACACTTATGGTGGTACCATGTCAAAGTGGATGAGATCCACTATCTGATCCGAGACAGATTAACTTCTACTGGGAGGTACAGTCTGGCTGACAGAGGACAGAAATATGAAAACCTCTCCCATTATTCAGTGAAGAAAGTCCATTCTCAAACACATTTAACCAACATTTACTAACTATAGCTTAAGAAAAGAAAGGAATGCCCTAGGTCTTAATTTTATAAAGCGACCGATCCTTGTTCAGTTTTCAAGAAAAATTAAAAAGCTGCTCCCATTAGGAGCAGAGATGAAAGTTCCCACCCCTAACAAGAATGGTGTGCACTGGGCTGCTCAGACTCAGGAGATGGGAGACAATACCCTGGTCCACTGTTGGACCCAGGAACAAAATCGTGAGCCAACTTTGCAAAATGATAGACCTTCTGCAAATGAAAACAGGACCAAGAGATGGAGGGAGGGGAGGGAAGGAAGCAGAAGGGGATGTTAAAGGCATTAAGATGTGTTATGTACATGGACCAACCCCTAGAGGTGAGTGTTCTCATTATGCCCTGCAAACATGTGCTAATAAAAATAAAAGGCACTGAAATCAGAGGGGCAGTGACAATGGAAAAATCTTGTACTTTTCAGTGCTATTAGAAAGTTGCTGACATATTTAAATCCACACAATTCAGGGAGAATGTGGAAATATTGCATGTCCACTCCACCAGATAATAAAGACATTGTCATTTTGAAGATGCCAGGTACTACTGTAAATGCTTTATATGTATCAAAGTACAAATATTTAGAGCTACTATTTGCATTTCTCTGGTGAGGGACTGAAGCACAGAGCTTCAATTACTTCTCTGGGTCTTGGCAGTTAAGTGCTAGAGCCAAGTTTTAAAACCATAGTCCAGCACCAGACCATGTGCTCTTAGCTACTATGCTATACCACCTCACACATGCGCAAAGGGAGCCTCTTGAGGTTTCTCAGGCTTCCTGAATGTGCACATTCATCTGGTTGAGACAAGCTCTTCACAGCACCTCTGGCTGCTGCGGTCTATGCTGCATCCTTAAAAATGTAGCCTGCCTTTTTCTCAATGTAAAACATGTATGAACTCGATCATTTGTGAGCAGTTAGTTACTTGTGAGCTCTGTGTTACTTCTAGTTGTGGAAGATTGGGTTGCTTGTAATGACAGTTCTTTAGAAGAAATACAGGGAATGTAGAGGCCCAGAAATTAAAATACCATATATGAGTAATGTTCTTTTGGCTCTAAGCTTTGGCTCAGCTGACAGGCAGAGATGCTGCAAACACATCATGGGGATGGGACCTGAGGGACCTTCTGGTTGTGGAAGGCAGGTCAAAGAGGCTTAAAGGAGGTTAAAAGGCAGCTGCACCAGCCCCGGTGCTGTGATCCCTACTGCATCTGCACCCTGCTGTCTGCCCCTGGAATGTCACTACTAATTTGTAGGGCAGCTCACACAGACTGATCTGTTCAAGGAAAAGAAAACAAACAAACACTCCCTGAAGACCAAGTATGAAAGAAACTACCCCCCCCCCAAGTGGTTTGTTCTGATATCACCAATCCACTAATAATAAATGGGCACAACCAATTTAAGTATAGACAAAGCTGTTCTGTAAACTAAAAGGAGTTGTCTCTGTGTAATTTATCTACAATACATTCTCTTAGCAAAGATGCAGATGGGTTACAGGGGTGAGATGGCATGATGGATATTATCTGAGCTATCTTAATGAAATGTGGGAGTTACCACTGTCAGTTAGACCCTCAATGGCTAACAATGTGTCTGTGACTCAGACTTCACAACTCATGGTGCAGGTAAGTATACATGAGAGGCCTTGCTGCCATTAGACCCGGAGTCCATGGGGCCAGGAGGATGTGCCCATTTAGCAACTATGCTATCCCTTCTAATGGGGTTTGCTGCCCAAGGGGCCCCAAGTCAGTCCCCAAGCTCTTCAATGGCCACTTCTCCAGGTTCATCCCCCAAGACAGACTATGCCATCAGGTACACATCCCCGCACCCAGCGTGTCCAAAGAACAGCTGTTTGCCAGGGATGTAGATCACCTGGATAAATAATCTGGGGTATCCCCCTTAATGAGAATGGGAGGCCAGGTTATAGTCAGTGGCAGGAAAGGAAGTAACAGTAGGCCAGAGGACCAGCTCTCCCCAAGCCACCATGCTGGGGCACAGAATGTCTAGGAATCTGAGAAATGTATGTTATATGTAGCCCTTGGGCTACTGTGAAGATACACTTATCAAGGGAAGAAGCTGCATCTTATTCAGCAGTTTGATTTATAACTTGACACACAGACTGTTGCTTATATCCTTGCCCCAGATCCTGGTTGAGGTTTAGTTTGGTACCCATGTTGAAAATGTAACCTACCTAACTTGAACCCCACCAGAACTGCCATCCGTGGTTAAGTAGAATGTGTTCAGGGAAACTGTGGTAGCATCCTAAGCAACACTTAGTCTCTGGCCTTCTGTAGCCACCTGAGCATCAGCACAGCCCACCTGGCTCTTGGGACCACTAAAGATATCTATCAACTTCTAGGAAGATGGCAGAGTGGTAAGCAGCAATAAACCAGCCTCCTCAAGATCGGAATCCAGACCCTGGAAAATAACAACTTGGGGAAGAAAGGAAGGAAGGAGGTGGATCCCTGGGACCCAGGAAGGATCTGAAGGGACAACCGGACCCCACAGAGAAATTAAAGAGGCAGACCACAACACAGTAAAAGGAAGGGACAATCTATAATTTCTCCCTGGCTTCTGGCTTATGGTAAGAGAAAGGAAGTTCAAATCTAGAGACATAGTGAAAGTGGGCAACCCCAGAGGCCTTCAGGGAGAAATGCACCAGTAAAATGGAGCACTGGACGCTGTGCACCACAACAGCCAGTGAGTGACTCCAGCCCAAGCATCTGCCATGTCTGGAGAAGGTTCCTGGTCAGATGCCTTTGTAGGAAAGGGCCAACTGAACCTGGGACCCAGAGCAGCCATGGGTTGGCCTTATTTCAGGGACCCAGTGTTAAACTCCCACTGTGACTGAGCGAGGGACAACCACAGGAGGTGTCTATGATTAAGGAGCCATGGTCAGGCTGACAAGAGACACCCACAGGGCTACAAGCTAAATGACTCAGGTCCCACCCCCATGACCACAGGCCAGGTTTAACCTGAATTTCTATAGATTTGAAAGTTGCAGAACCAGCACCAAGCCCTACTCCTTCTGCCAGCTTGCTGGGATTATCCAGCATGGATCAGAGCTCGGATCACCTCCCTTGTGTGTGAGAGCAGAGTCATTCCTTGAATTGGACATTGCCACAAAACTGTAGACCCCAGAGGTCTACAAGTATGAAATCATAGAGAAATTTCTTTGTATTTCCTGGTTTGTTTTTTTTTATTACTTGTTTTGTGTGTGTATGCATTTTTTTTTAGTTTTGTTTTGTTCTTGGTTTTAGTTTTTCCTTCTTTCCTTCCCTCCTGTCTTCTTAAGCAGTTTCCTGAGGCTTGAGTAATCTTTTTGTACTTCATCCTTACTTCCAATCAATTTGCTTCTTTCATTTCTATTTTTTTCCATTTCTCACTTTAAAATCTTCTTCTTTAAGGTAAAATCACTCTATGGAGTGGATAGCTACTGTATACAATTTTCTGATTTGTCTTAGATTTTGTTATATAACTATAAAATGTTGTACCTAGGGGAAAGGTGGCAAATCATTAGTTGTCATAGCTTGCCATTTTCCAGTCTGTGATGTTATTGTTATTACTGATTGTGCTACTTTAGCCAAGGTGACATAGTTGTGATCAGTTGATCCTCCTTGTATGCCAATGCCTAGATTTACTGGGGGTCCTAAACAATATTACAGCCCAGTGGCAAAGAACTAGGCTGTTGCCAAATAGGCTGCACTCTTTCATCCCTAATAAACAAAAGAGACAAGATCCTGGGACAGACTCAATGGGCAAAAGCTATCTATTCCTAGAAGATATCTCTGAAAAGCAGTAATTTCCTTAAGAGGTCTTGATACTAGTAATGAAGCTACCTACCAGAAGCAATTTACAAGCCTCACTGCAGAAAACAAATAAACAAAAAAAGGAGAAAAAGAGAAAACACTGAAGTAAGATGAAAACCCTAATCCCCAACTTGCCCAAGGCAAATCCAGGTGGCCTTGAGGGGGAAGAAAAAAGCTACTCAGCTGAATGCTCTGAAATGGTAGTAGTGGAAGTAACATAGTGGATGACTCAGTTGTTTGACAAAATGAAAACAGAAATAATTACACAGACAATTAAAGAGACGATGACCATAATGAAGAAAATGGTTAGTGAATCTACAGTAGATACAGACTTTTTTTTTTAGAGAGGCGCTTAGGAAAGACAAAGAAACCATGAATCTCCAAACTAGGAAAGAACTGGAGTCTGTAAAATAGATTCAAAAAGATTAAAAATTCTATTGAAAGTATACACAGCAGAATAAACCAGTGTGAAGACAGAATATCAGATCTAGAACACACAGAGTTGCAGATGGCCATCATCAAATGAAAAACGTCTTTAAAATAGTAAGGGACGATGGAAAATCAATCCAACAGCTACTAGACAATGCAATGAACAATAATATAAGAATAACTTGAATCAGTGAAAAATCAGAAGCTAGCACAAAGGACTTAAAAAAATTTTTCACAAAAGTAACAGCAGAAAATTTTCCATGCATGGAAAAAGAAT